TCGGGCTTAGAGCACAGAACAGTTTCAAGATTGTGTGTGCCCCCCTCCCCCCCGTACAAAAGTTTAGCATTCCAGGAAAACGGGGAAAGGACACTGCAAATTTGGGTACAGAAAATCCAAACAAGTTAGGTATGAAGACCAAACAACAAGATAATTTGTGATTTACGGCTTTAATATTTAGGTGTGAAGTGAAGCTGGAAGACTTTATGGGAATGGCTTTTTTGTGACAATTTTGGTAAAAAAAAAAAAAAAAAAAAAGTAAATTACAGGGGCGCCTGAGTGGCTCAGTCAGTTAAGCGTCCGACTTCTGCTCAGGTCACCATCTCACGATTGGGGAGTTCGAGCCCATCGGGCTCTGTGCTGACAGCTCGGAGCCTGGAGCTGCTTTGGATCTGTGTGTCCCCCTCTGACCCTCCTCCATTCTCTCTCTCTCTCTCAAAAGTAAACAAAAAAAAAAAAAGGTTTTTTAATGCTGGGGCTGATTCAACAGTCATTTCACACATAACCTTCAATTCCAAAATGCGCTCATCAAAACAGCTTTAGAAATATCACATTAGCACTTTGGACCTCGGGTACAAAGTTGGGTTAGTCCTGAGCTGTGCTTCATGGCACTCTGCACTGGTTCACAAGTGCTCTGCCTTTAGTTGTGTCCGACATGAGCACCCTGAACGGACTTCTCCTCGAAAACGTCGGGGGCTTGACCGCACGGCACCGCACCCCTGGCCTCCTCCTGTCTGGCGCACCGTCCTTCATTCTCTCCTGCGCGGTCCTGCCTTCTCCTGTAAATCACAGCCAGAGCTCGCAAAGAAGTGTATTTTACTAAACTTTTCATAAGCGAGTATGTTGTATATTTTGAGACCTTTCTGCTCACGATGCCTCTCAGGCTTACTATGCCTTCTATTTGGTTATTACTCAATATTCCACTGTAAGACTGTATCATACTTCATCCATCCATTCTTCAGTGGGACTTTGTCCTTTCTGGGTTTGTGCGTTCTGTGCACAGTGCTAGGGACTCTTGTATGGGACCCCGGTACCCATGTGCCAGCTCTCCTTCAGCACACACGTACGGCTCACACTTCCAGATTTCAGGATGTGTCAAAGTCCAGCTTTAAAAGGTAACACCACATCTTCTAAAGGACTGAACCACTTCCGAGTAACCAGCAGGCTCTAAGACGTCATGCGGGATCCCTCCAACCCTAGATATCACCAGACTGTTAAATTTTTGCCATTTGATTGGGCATAAAATGGCATCTCACTGTTGTATTAATTTGCACTGTAACTTCGCCCAGTCTGCAACTCATCTTTTCACTTTCTTTGAAGATACTTTAAATTATCATCTATTAGAGTAGGGGTGCCTGGGAGGCTCAGTCAATTAAGGGTCCAACTTCAGCTCAGATCGTGATCTCACAGCTCGGGAGTTTGAGCCCCGCGTCAGGCTCCGTGCTGACAGTTCAGAGCCTGGAGCGGCTTCATATTCTCTACCTCTCTCTGCCCCTCCTCACACATGCGCTGTTTCAAAAATAAACATTAAAAAAATGATCTATTAATGCATAAAATGTTTCCCTTTCTTTTTAGTTGACATGGGATCTTCTGTTAGTTTCTGGCGCGTCCACCATTGTGACTGGACACTCACGTACATTTGAAAAGCTCACCAGTGTACTTACCACCTGTCACTGTACACGTGTTACAATACTATGTTCCCTGTGCAGTTACTTTTCATCCCTGTGACTTATAACTGGAGGCTTGTATATCTTCATGCTCTTCACGTATCTGCCCCTCCTCCCACCCCCCTCCCCTCCGGCAGCCCCCAGTCGATTCTCTGTACTGTTTGTTTTTATTCCATGTGAGTGAAATCATACAGTATTTGTCTCTCTCTTTTTTTAAATGTTTATTTGAGTGACAAAGTGCAAGTGGAGGAGAGGCAGAGAGGGAGACACAGGATCGGAAGCAGCTCCAGGCTCTGAGCTGTCAGCACAGAGCCCAAACTGGGGCTCAAACCCACGAACCGTGAGATCATGACCTGAGCTGAAGTCGGACTTAACCGGCTGATCCACCCAGTAGTTCTTTCTTATTTCACTCAGCAAAATAACCTCTAAGTCCATCCATGTTGTCGCAAATGGCAAGAGCTCACTTTTTACAGCTGAGTCCTGTCCCACTGGATATATCTGTTCATCAGTCGAGGGGCCCTTAGGGTGCTTCCATATCCTGGCTATTGGAAATAAATAATGCTGCAGTAAATAACGATGCTCCTCATCTTTCTGAATTAGCTTGTTTTCCCGAAGTAAACAGTCCAAAGTAGAACTGTAGGATCGAATGATATTTTTACTTTTCATTGGGGAGCCTCCACACCGTTCTCAGCGGCTGCACCAGTCTGCGTTCCCACCCACAGTGCACGAGGGTCCCCTTTGCTCCACATCTCCGCCAACACCTGCCGTCTCCTGTGTCGCTAAGATTAACCATCGTGACAGGTGTGAGGTGGTATCTCAGTGTGGTTCTGATCTGCGTTTCCCTGATGCGTCATGTGGAGCATCTTTTCATGTGCCTGTTGGCATCTGTGTGTCTTCTTTGGAAAAAATGTCTGTTCATGTCTTCTGCCCATTTCTTTACTGGATTACTTGTTTTCTGGGTGGTCAGCTGTACATATTTTGGATACTGACCCCTTATCATACGTATCATTTGCAAATCTCTTCTCCCATTCAATAGGTTGCCTTTTCATTCTGTCGATGGTTTCTTACACTATGTGAAAGCTTTTTAGTTTGATGGAGTCCCAATTGTTTACTTTTGCCTTTGTCGCTCTGGCTTTCTCGTACTATAGTTTAAAATCTGGGAGCGCGGCACCCCCACCTTTGTTCCCCTGAAGACTGATTTGGTTATTTGGCCTCTCTCATGGTTTCCGATTTTAAGATAATTTATTCCGATTCCATGAAAAATGTTCTTTGCATGCTGATAGGGACGCCATGGGGTCTGTAGACTGTTCTGGGTATTGTGGGCATTCTAATGATATTGATTCTTCAAATCCATGAGCATGGAGATCTCTCCATTTGTCTGTACCACCTTCAGTTGCTTTCACCCATGTCTTCTGTGTACAGGTCTTTCTCCTCCTTGGTTACATTTATTCCTGGGTGTAAAAGACTTCATTTTAATGCCAAATTTAGCAGTAATACTTTCAGTTTATGCTTTATGTCTTAAGTAGTACTCTATCTCAAGATCAAAGCAGCAGTTATCTTTACTTCCCCCCCCACCCCCGAGTTTTAAAATTTTGTGTTACATTTAAGACATTAAGTTCCTATTGCCCGAGCTAGGAAATCAATTCTCAGCCTTTCCCACAGATACCCAATTGTTCTAGCTCCAAATATCAAATCCTCTTTCCCCAATGTGACACGTCACCTCTCACACCAAAGTTCTGTCCCTGTGTGCCTTTTCCTGAGCATTCTGGTCTGGTCTGTTCCACTGGGAAATGTGTACAGCCCCTGGTTCACACCAAGCTCTTTTAATTAACATCACTTCCCATGAATAAGTCCTAACATCCAATAGGACATGTGCATACCTCCCTGCCCTTTTCTGAAAGGCTGTAGCCCTTGGCGATCTTCCACCTTCAATTGCTCGAACAAGTTCCATGAGAAAACTTGGTAGATTTTGAATGGAATTACTTTGAATCTATAGATCTGTTTGGGGACACATGACTCTATACCATCTTCCTAGCCATTCACATGTCTCTCTCCCTATTTACTGAGGTTTTAGTTATTGTCTCTCAATAATACTTTAAAAAGGGGCACCTGCATGGCTCAGTCAGCTAAGCGTCTGACCTTGGCTCAGGTCATTATCTCATGGTTCGTGGGTTCAAGTCCCGTGTCAGGCTCTGTGCTGACAGCTAGCTCAGAGCCTAGAGCCTGCTTCCAATTCTGTATCGCCCTCTCTCTCCGACCCTCCCCTGCTCATGCTGTCTCTCTCTCTCAGAAATAAATAAAAAAAAAAAAATTAAAAAAAATAATACTTAAAAAGGAAAAAAATTCTAAAGTTTATTTATTTTGAGAGAGAGAGTCAGAGAGGGAGAGAAAGTATGCGTGTGAGGGAGGGGCAGAGAAAGGAGAGAGAATCCCAAGCAGACCATGCACACTTGGTGCAGAGCCTGACGCGGGGCTCGAACCCATGAACCATGAAATCATGACCTGAGCCAAAATCGAGAGTTGGACATTTAACCAACGGAGCCACCAAGGCGCTCCTAGAACTTTCTCCTAAAGAGGTCTTCTTCCACATGTATTGTGACTGGCCGCGGTACTTGGTGTGGGTGCTGCTTGTAGTTATTGTTGCTGTAGAGAAATGCACCTGGCTTCTGAGAGTTAAGGCCACACCCAGCTACCTAACTACACCCTTTGTTTCTAGTACCTTCTCTAGACTGCTTTCTATTTTCTGTAAGAACAAACAGGTGGCACGCAAGTATCAAGTGTTTCCTCCTTCTTCCTATGAGGGCTGACTCCAGCCAACACAGATCTCTACCTCACAGCAGGCAGCCCTTCCTGACTTTAAAAGGGAAGGAGTTTCTTCTTTTTGGAAGATGGCCGCTTCTCATCTGTTTGTTTAGTTTTACAGAGAAATCATCAGCTTAAGGAAATTCCTTCCTGGTTCTAAAAGTTTTCCTCATGAATGGGGGTTAGATTCTACTACACGTTGAATCTGATTCTGCTGAGCTGGTCCTAACAGTTTTCTCTCTTTAGTCTCTTCATGTCATAAATTAACAGGTTACATTTAAATACAGTACATTTACAGATTTTAATGCTAAGCCATCATTACATAGTAAGACAGAACATCCAAGAAATGGTAGACAAACTTAAACCTAGAAATTTGAAGTCCTCAATGCAAAGGGACGTGAGACCACCACTCACCATGGCGAGATCCATCGCAAGCAGACATGTCAGCCACAGCGGCAGCCGGCTGTACAGTCAGTGAAGGAGAAACGAAAGGTCAAGACGCACCACCAGCAAGAGTAACAGAAACAGCAGTACCAGGGAACGGACGGTTTTCCTTTTTATTTAATCACAGACGGGCGGGGTCAACATAAACACAGCACAATTTCTCCAGATCATTCTTCCTACCGTGTGCACACCCAGACCGGCGAGCCTCTCTGAAAGACCCCGCGGTCAGCAATGCAACGCATACAGCTGTTCCTTCCCTCGCTCAAGAAAATTCAAAACCACACAAACTTAGAATCTCCTCAGCACATACTCTCCTGTGACAAATGATTCAGACATAAATAGTGGGTGCAAAGAAACTCTACACTAACACATGTATAACCTTTGTTAATGAAACAACAGAAGCAGCCATAATGATTAAGATACATTCAGTTACTGGTAACTAGTCGTGCCCTCATGGGCATTATCAAAAGAGGAATCGTGCTGCAGAGAAAAGCTATATATACACACACAATGAGAAAAATAAACTGCAAGATCAACGCATGCATGTTTAATACTGGAAAATCACAGCCCTCCGAAAGTTCTCCACGTTTGTTATAAAAGCCCTCTGCACTCAACTAAAATTAAAATGATCTTAAAAGGATAATAATACTTGTAAAGTTTACTTAAGTCTTTTCAGCCACAGAAACTGCAATGGAAATAAATGTTCAGAGTCATTTTCAAAACAAAACCAGAAATCTATTCTTCTGATGACATGCATGATTAAAAGGTCTATGCAACGTACATCGCTCTACATTCCCAAGGACTAGGAAAAAAAACCTCAAGTCAATTTTTAGTTTGCAGATGGTCAAAGGAGTTTGTATTCCAGCAGGAGTTCAAATCTTCTGGATCTTTTCACCAACAACTACTGGGTTTTCTTTTCTGATTTTCTCCGCAGCGTCAGCTTTGTAATTGTACGAGCAATTGTGCACGTCTGAGTAACGGTGTACGCCACAGTAAACATGTCCACACCGGCATTCAAACCCTGCAAACGGACCAGCACACAGGTGTGAGCGGGAGGGAGGGGCTGACTCCAGGTGCCTGAGCACCGCTAACAGTCATAGTGCCGGGTGCGCGGGGCGGCATCTGAACAGTCCGCCCCGCAGCGGCCGGACCTGGTAACCCTTTCAGATCACGCTTCACCAGCTGAGGGCTTTGTGCCTCGTTCCCACCCCACAGATACAGGTTTGCAGCGCAACAGATCACAGCCACTGCTCTGAGTTCGGGTCTTCGGCTGGGACCCTATCAAAGTCAGGACGGCTGCATCGAATGTAAAACCTAGCTCAAATCCAAATTCTAAATGTGCAGATAAGCACACTGTCAGAGGCAACCTTAAAATTTAACGTGGAAGGTGTAAGGACACTTCCGGGAGGCCTGTATCCACGCTGGCGGCTTCCCTTGACAGACTGCCGGTGGCGGGGGGGGGGGGGGGGGGGGGGGGGGGGGGGGGTGCTCCTGCCGCTGAGCTGAGCCAGAGTAGGGTATGCAGTTGGGGCCGCCTCATGGAAGCTGCTCGCTGCCTAATGCAGGCCAGTTACCAAGCTTTTCTAAGCCTCAGTTTCTACATCTGTAACTTTGGGATAAGTTACTATAGGGACTGAATGGGGAATGTGGGGAGCACTTAACCAGTAAATGTGCAATAAAGCTAATTTTAGGGAAATGCCCATGGAGTTGAAGCCAAAAGAGAGTTATAGGGTGTGAAGGGTCTTTATATAAAACCGGTCCTGCTTCTCAAATCAGTTTTATGATTCGATGGAGCCGCAGGAAACGGAGCACAGGAATCAACATTTTAAACACTGACGTTTGATGTAAGTTTCTTCTACCATATTTCTTTCTTTTTTTGCTTCAGAAACCTATTCTGTCGCTTCGCAGTAACGAATGGAGAATGCAGCATGCAGCAACTGTAACACCAGACTGGCAGATTGGACAAGATGAAAATTACTAAGTCTCAGCCTTCCATCATGAAGTCTGAGAGTTCTTGAGATTCAGAGAGACTATGTTTGACACGAACTATGTTACTTGAAATGTCTTATGTGGCCAGGCTGAAGTGTCTCCGATTGCAGACTCCTCCCCTTTCACTTGATCTCCAGCCTGTGCCTTGGCAGGAGAAACCTTCCTAAGACGTCCTGACACTTTCATCTCCTCTTCTCGGCTCTGTGCGTCACATTTTATGCTACAGAGTACAGAGCACAACTCCTCACACATGGGCAGAGGGCAATGGCGATTGTTTACAAGCTGCGACCGCCATCCACCAGGAACCACAGGGCAAATGGTGAGCTTGTCTGTGTTTCTGTCTGACTGTGTATCCGACGAGCCCGTTCGCACGTTACGTGCCACAGCCACAGTCCCCACCTGTGGTCCCTGACAAGGCCCCGTTCTTTCCTCCCTCCGACCTTCTGGTCAAGCTATTCTTTCTGCCCGAAACGCCCCTCTCCCATCAGCTCTGAGTCGTAGCTCTCTTTCAGGGCCCGGCTCAAACGTGCTGCCACCGTGGAACTTTCTGAGACGGGCTCCTACTCCCCCCTTTCCGTACAGATGAACTACAGCACCTGTCCGAGTTCCCCTCTGCGCCACCCGCCGATCACCCAAGTGGTATCACACTACGCTTTCTCCCTCCCCAAGAATCAGTGCGTCCCACAGCGGGGCCGGCCGGGCACTTGGGTCCCTCCTCCGCACACCTTCTGGCCCTTGCAGCACCCGGCACCTGGGCCCGACCCATCTGACCCTCGCAGACTCCGCTGGGATGGATTTTAGTAAAAGAATACCTATTCATGTCACTCTCAGGTGTATAATTAAAGCTACTTTATTTAAGCAAATTCTGAAGTGAACGGAGTGCAGGGCTGGCTCCCACGGGCACAGGACTGAGCCCCTGGAGCCGGAGCAGTAAGGCGCGCGTTACTGTGCAGGACAGTCCGAGGCCGACGCGCCGCCCTCCAGCCCTTACCAGTGAGTCCTACTTTCTTCCTGCACATGAAACAGCGGTTCTTTCTCTGCTTTGGCTTTTCAAGAGACTCGCTCTGCTCTTCAGATGGTTGCTGTGCCGTATCTGATATTGAAGCTGACAAAACAGGAAGGGGGTAAAATTTAATTATTTGGGAAGATTCTTATACTGGCTGGTGGCTGCTTCCCCCCACCCCCCACCCCCGTCTGTTACTGTAAGGGTCACCGAGGACGGTTAGCTTGGGAAAAGGCTTGCACGGAGTTACAAAATCAGTTAGATAATATAGTCCTCAAATGTATGTGCATATGTGACATACGTGTGTACACACATACACACACAGGAAATCGGGAAGAACGTATGTATGTTAAGCATTGACTCAAGGTCTAGCGCTGTATTCCCTATTTTTTAATCATGTATTTGAAATAAAAAGCGCACACATTCACGCACGCAAATACTACTGGAGTATTTTAAATATGTAAGGAAACGGCCACATGCCAACTGCTGAATATTGCTAGGGTCAGAACTACATAGATTTCTCAGAAGGGCAACAAGGCTGAAAGCAAGACCAGGTAGAGCACTATGTTTAAAACTCTCAGAATGTTCCACAGAAAACCTTGAAAATGGTAGGAAGATGAATGTATTGGAAGGCTATAATTTGGGTAACACACTGCTGCATTTAAGCAGTGAAGTCAAGGCCAGCCGCACCAAGATTCCAATCCCTGCACCTGAGCCCTGACCTCACTGAGCCTCCCAGACACGGTCACCAGTTGGGGGCTGTCACCTGACCTGGCACACACGCCATCTCGCATCACAGCCAAGCTGCCGCCCTCTGGTCCGGAGGTGTGCTGCTCAGCCGCTGGGGGGCCAGTTCCACAAGCCCCTCCCCGTCCTCCTCACACCTGGTCTCCCCCCTCCTTCCTCCACAGAGGCTGTCCCCGTTCTCGACGAGGCTCGCTAATCAATCCCCCATGGCTCCCTTACTCACCTCACCAAATCCTGGGCCCACCACATGCGCGCCTCTCCAGGCCTTACTTGACACGTGGCACTGAGCACAAGCCTGGTGACGGGACTCACCCCCAGGAGAAGCCGCAGGCCCGGCAGGACTCCCCCCTGCTACGCCACACCCAAGCACCCATTGTTCCGAACACACACAGTCTTCTGGTCTCTGGGCTTCTGTGGCCTCCCTTCTGTGTGGAATGCTGGCCACGCCCGTCTGGTCCCACTCTTCACGGGGCAGACTCTCATCTGTCTTCTTTAAGCATCAACCATCCACTTGCTACTCAACACCTTGGATTAGGAACCTTACTACGCGCGCCAGCAGTGCTGCCCACATGGTTAGAAGTGCCTGTCTGCCTGAACCTGGCTTAGCGGTGAGCTCCCCCAGGGCGGGGCTTGTCCTTCCCACCCCTGCTCCCGGTGCCGACCCTCACACCCTGACCGCACGGCCACGCAGCGCAGTCCTGAACTAGTCACTCTCCGTATTCGCGTGCCCCAGCCTCCCCAAGTACAGGGTCAGCCCACCAAGGAGAGACTGTATCCCCATTTCCTGTCTGCACCTCCAGCTCCCGTCCAGTGAGCTCCATAGAGCGGACACTCAAGTACATGAGGTCATGGATTCTAACCTGCGTATGTTACCTGTATCACCTCCTATTTGAACAAAATACGACAAAGACAAAACAGGACAAAGACAAAACAGCACAAAATGATGAGCACATGCATGAACGAACTCTGTGCTTTCTTCACCTAGAAGCTCTGAGCCAGATGGCAGACGGCTCCACAAATAGACACATTTTATTTTGAAACACATTATGGACACAAAAAACCTTCTATTATCAATAGACAAAAAGCCTCAGAGTGTGAGCTGCAGGAGGCAGGGGCTGTCTCTTTATGTGTTCTACCCACCACCCCTGGAGGGATCAGGTAACGTTCCGCTGTGTGTAAAGGGCTCAAAAACAGTTTAACTTGCAACCTGAAAACAATGTATTTACTGTCATTGAAGTCTGTAAACCGTAATATCTTTTTTTTTTTTAATGTTTTATTTATTTCTAGGAGAGAGAGAGACAGCGTGAGCAGGGGAGGGTCAGAGAGAGAGGGAGACACAGAATCCGAAGCAGCTCCAGGCTCTGAGCTGTCAGCACAGAGCCCGACGCGGGGCTTGAACCCATGAACCGTGAGATCATGACCTGAGCCAAAGTCGGACGCTCAACCAACTAAGCCACCCAGGCGCCCCTGTAATCCGTAATATCTAACCTGTTCTCCCAAGAAACTGATAGACAAATAAACTTATATAAATAATGCTTTAATAGCAGTAACAGCACTACCACGAGAACACATCTTTTAACAAGGCTGGTTTGACTACTGGGGCACAAAGTCTGGCACGTGGGAACAGAGAGGAGTGAAATGCACTCTCCTGCCACACACACAAATGCTGCTGCATGAAAGTGTTTCAACGGAGACATTTCAGCATCAGCCCTGAAGTCCCGTCTACAGCAAGTGCACAGCCGGCAGAGCCCAGGGCCCACAAAGAGTCTAGGACCTGAGGAGCCAAGGCGAGCACCTGACGCCGATCACTGTCCACTGTGTCCCCAGGAGACCAAGGTGACCTCAGCTTACCTCAAACTAGGGGTTGGTAGCTAGAGTTTTAACACTCACAGATCAATTCATGGGCAGGAGGACACAGCACCTGTGCAAGTCTATGATTCCCCCAAATTACCTATTTCCTTACCTTCTATGTGAGACTTCGGGCAAGCACGCCTCACCAAACTCTCAATTATGTAAAAGGAAACAATTCAGCCTCATAATCATACTGAACCTGAAGCCAAAATAGGAAGTTTCCTCAGAACTAGGCAGCTTTTCACAGTCTGAAATGAGGACTGAAAACAGGAAGGCACCTGCTCGTTACGGATCAGGAACAGGCAGCTGCCGACGGCGCACCTGCACGTCCAAAGGTCTGGTCGGGCGGCCTGGGCCATCACGTGAAGGCCATGAGGCCAGCTGGATTTTTAACAGGAATCCCAACTAGACAAAGTCTATTGGCCAGTTATTCTGAGAAACTTCAAAACCGCAGGGCAGGGGTGCCTGGGGGCTCAGTCAGTTAAGCGACCAACTCTTGCTTTCGGCTCAGGTCATAATCTCGTAGTTTGTGGGAAGGAGCTCAGCGTCAGGCTCTGTGCTGACAGTAAGGAGCCTGCCTGGGATTCTCTCTCTCTGTCTGTCTGCCCCTTCCCCCATTCATGCTTGCTTTCTCTCGCTCAAAATAATACACTTAAAAAATAAAAATTAAAAAAAAGCACAGGGCAGGTAAAATTAGTTCAACTCCCCACATGGATGACTGCATTCAAGAGGAACAAAGCCCTCTGCTCTGGGTCCTGTTAAGATAGAAGGTACACAAATAGAACAGTAAGTGTATAAAACTATTTAGCATTACCTGTGTTTGGGAGCGTTTAATATACATGATAAAAAATACAACTACCCACAGGAGAGCACTAACAGGCACCCCGAGAATGACCCTGAGTAGACACGGCAGCCCCGTGCCGCACACGCAGGCCTTCCTGACACAGAAGGACAAGGGCACCCCCACTACCTCGGCCCAGCGCTGACCCTTACTGCGCGCGCACTGTCCCAACGGCCCCTGCGGTCACCCTCACGTCCCTTCTCTGTGCTTCACTGCATGCAAGGTGAGGGGCTGGACCGAATCATCCTTCAGTTACTCCTAGCTCAAACACTCTTTACGGAATGAGAACACCGTAAATATTCAAGAGAAGTGAGCCTGTATAGTAGCAGTGTCCAAAAAATATATACCGCACCAAAGATTTAATTTTACATTTTCCACTCATCATGCTAAAAGGTTTAAGAAGGGTAAGTTAATACATATTAGCATTTAAAAATGTAACTGGTATGAAAATATTAAGATACTTCTCATATTTTTGATACTCAGTCTTCAAGACCCAGTGTTATCAGCAGGCGACCATGTACGGAAGTAGGCAGTCTCGGCCCAGCCGCACTGCAGGTGCCCGAGCCGCCGAGGCCAGTGGCCACCGTTCTGGACAGAGCAGCTCTGTGCGGGAGAGCAGTTTCTGTTAGCGGCTGTCTGGGGGCAAAGCAGCATCCCCTCAATCTTCCTGAAATACAACTGTGTGCCATCTTACAAAAAACAGCAAGAAAGGAACCGACCTTCACAAGGCCGTGTCCCCTACCCACCGGTCAGGACCCGGCATCTCGGGGGCCTCCCGTGCCTTGGTTTAGACAGGGTCTCGGTGTCACCCTGAACAGGTCCAGCAGCCGCAGCCCCTCCCCTCCCACGGCTCCTCCTCCAGCAGAAAGCCCTCCTTGCCGCACCCACCCGCCGTCCGAATGAACCATTCAGCCTGTGGCCTGTGTACCCAGCTTGCTGCTTCCACGTGGCCTGTTTCCAGAGCCACCCCCGTGGGGGCCTGGGAACCTGGTTTCCCTTCCTGGCCAAGCAGCACCCCACGGCTCACAGACCCCGTCCCTCCGTCCGCTGGCCTGCTGACGGCCGTCTGGGCAGTAAGCGTGAGCAGTGGTGGTGTGGACACCCTTACAGAAGTTTCTGTGTGTGGACACGGGCTCTCAATCTTCCAGGATTCAGGAAAGGAGCTTCTGGGCCATACAGTTAACTCTCTAAATTCTTGAATTAAATTTGTAACTGCCAAGCTGCTTCCCCAAGTGGCTGCATTCTTTCATATCCCCAACAACCATGTATTACAGTTCAAACTCTTCCATATTCTTATCACGTGGGCCATTTGTATATTGTCTTTGGAAAAAATGTCTATTGAAATCCTTTCCTTTGCCCTTTAAAAAACTGGTCTTTCTAAGGCTGAATTATGACACTTCTTTACGTATTCTTATCAGCTACAGGAGTCACAAATACCCTCCCCCCATTCCCTGGATGGCCTTTTCATGCTGACGACGCCCCCTGAACCACACGGCTCTGGCCCTGCTGTGGCTCGATGTGTCTGTTCTCCTGCGCTCGCTGCTGCCCAGGCGTCCCATCCAAGGAGCCACTGCCTCATCCAAGGTCATGAAGACTTAGGTCTGTTTTCCAGTTTCAGGTCCTACAGCTTAGGCCTTTGGTGTGTTCTGGGCAAACGTTTGTGAAAGGTGTGAAGGAGGGGCCCACTGTCATCCTTTCAATGGACAGGGACACCCGCCCCCGCAGGGCCCCGACGGCAGTGTCCTCACGCCCGTCCCCGCGGGGCCCCGACGGCGGTGTCCTCACGCCCGTCCCTGTGGGGTCCCGATGGCGGTGTCCTCACACCTGTCCCCGCAGTCTTGATAGCTGCACCTGGTGATGCTTTGAACCCTGTCCTCCTTTCCCAGACTGTCTGCTACACTCAGTCACCCTCCCGAGTCAGAAGAAACCTATGCGTTGTAACCCTTCAGCCTCCTCACACCCGTCTACCAGGACTGTTCGGAGCGGCCGAGCGGTGCCATCAGGAGCCCCGGGGGACTCGCACGGCGGGCGCTCTGCACCGGGCCGGCCTGCAACTCGGTCCCTGGGCGCCTCGGGGATGGGCTCACCGCCCTCCGTGCCACCGCATGCGGCCGGAGCGCCTCACGGTCCCCTTTCCCTACACGTGCGTGACTCCCGCGCTGCCACGACGTCACCCAGAAGACTGTGCAGTCACCCGTTATTCCGCGGACTTGGGGCGCCCTGCACGCTGGGCGTGGCCATCACTCCTTCTCCTGTATAAGTAACACAAACGTGGCTCAGAAGCAGGGGTGACGTGTGCACATGTGGTAGTGGAACCTCTGATCGCAAAGCCACTTCTTTTTATGAGGACCTAGCGTCTGAGGGGCTCAGGTGAGCCGAGGGGAGTGAGCTGCGCACTGAGGCACCCGGATGCTCACACACGTGGTTGTAAAGCTGCCCTTTGTGACTGAAAATCTCACATTCCTAAGTTAGACTATGTAAGTGAGGGAGTGCCAATTACTAAATTAAAAAGAAAAATTAAATGAGAAGCATGCTATAATATGCTTATTTCTCATTTAAAAAGGAGAAAAATTCTTCAGAACCATGAGGGTAACATGAAAGCAGCACCACCCACCTGGTGGCAACAAATTCTAATTACCAGCAGACCTACGGGGACAAAGTTCTTTCAAGGACACTAATCTGAAAACTCCAATAAAGGAGGTTAGGAGGGGCGCCTGGGGGCTCAGTTGGTTAAGCGTCGGACTCAGGTCATCATCTCACGGTTCATGGGTTCGAGCCCCGCGTCGGGCTCTGTGCTGACAGCTCGGAGCCTAGAGCCTGCTTCTGATTCTGTGTCTCCCTCCCTCTCTGCCCCTTCCCTGCTTGTGCTCTGTCTCTCTCAAAAATAAATACACATTAAAATAAAAAAGAAAAGGAATTTAGGAAATTCTGGCTTCGGTACACAGCTGCTACTCACAAACCCTCTACCATCTGGATTTTCTCCTCACCTGAAGAGATGTCCCAGATGCAGAGGGAGTAATATGGAAGAAGACAGATACTTGGTAGGTCACCAAAGTGCAGGAGCCCACCCTGGGGACGCAGTGCTGCCGGTGGTGACGGGAACCCACATATGCCTCCTAATCTAGGAAGCCCCACAGCTGGGGAGACCACTCTGGCCTGGAGTCAGGGGCCTGGCTTCCAGCCCAATGGCCACAGGACTGGAGTCCAAGACTTTCTGTCCCTCCACTAAATAGATGGAAAAAAGTGTTGTCTGCGTTTCCTCCTCCCACCCAGGAAAGTACCAGTACATGTGTGTGAGGAGTGCACGTGTACACACACGCACGCACACGCACGCACACACTCATTTCCCCTGCCATCTCAAAGTCTGCTTTATGCCACTTCGCTTTTGTGGAAAACCTACATCAGTACCTGTTTTGCTAACCAAAAGATATCCCAAGAGAATTTTCATTTTTATGAAATGGCACTTGCTTCTTTACACTGTTTTGGTTTATGAAAGGTTTCAGAGAAACGCTCTTACTTTTGGAGAGCAGGGGAACCTGTATTTGGGTACATGTTTATAATAAAAGAAGATGGTCTTAATTCAACAGCATGACCAAGACATTTCTAAAAATAGGATTTTAAGAGATTTTACACACTGAAAATGAATCCTCTTAAACTCAAATGAAACTTAGACCTGATTCTTCAAAGATCCTGCAGTGCTAAGATAATGAATGCTAAGTTTTTAAAAGGTACTTAGAAGCTAATACTGGCTTAAACTTAAAGGTCACTAAAAGGTGAAAAAAGGAGCCTATAAATTTTCGAGAGGCCTTACGATTCCTCCCAACACGGCTCCAGGAGCGCCTCTGGCCAGGCGGCCCTCCACCCCCACAAGTGGTATAAGGTCACCAACCCGTCTCCACCCTGGGCCGAGGCTGCACGGTGACTGCTGCCGTGTCCGCCTGCAGCACCCGTTCCCGCACGAGACAGAGCACGGGCAAGGTCGGCAGCCGGTGCTCACTGCTCCTCCCTGAGCTCTCATCTCAGCAACCCCGGCTGCTCCAAACTCTCTCGTAGTCGGCACCTGTGGGCCCAGGCGACTTCTCCTCCTTCTCCCAAGTTGTCATCCAACTTGCCCTCCTAATTTTAGCCTCTCATTTTTCGATGTGTGCCAAGGACTTATAAATCTCAGACGTGATACTGATTACATGTTTATATACCAGTTCTCTATCTACAGCCTCTTTCACTCTGCACCGCGCCCCGCACCAGCGCCCGGTTCAGCGCAGCCCACTCCCGCGCCGCCGCGGGGCCGAAAGCTTTACCAGCCTGCGCCGAGTTCCCGCGTCTCATGCGTAACTCACTCAGTCTTAGGGAATCCTTCCATTTCTGCTTTTAACACGTCCCTCATCTCTGTTCTTCCTTACATTTTCCTATTTAACTAAAAAATAAAAATTATTTACTTATAATGCTTAGGTTGGCCAAAAATGCTATTTTCTTGCTATAGCAAAATCCAGAAACAGAAAACTCAGAGCAAGAGGAATCAGCCAGCCAACTGCACGTGGACTTCAGAGCTTAAACTAAGATCACAGGCGGGTCTGTCGCTGTCACACGGGCGCCATGGTCCCCGTCGGCACCGCCGCCTCTCTGAACCAAGCCGGAAGCAGAGAACACGGACGCTCGCCCCCAGGGTTACCTTTTCTGAACCTCCTCCTTCAGCGAGCCACGGCGCCCACGCACCGGTGGGACAGAAGTCCTCCAGCACGGGCTGCCCCAGCCTCTTGAGTGTCAACTCTACGACTGCAGCTACCGGAAAAGCCCTCTCAGATCATCCTGAACTACGTGAGGGGGTGTGCAGAGTGTGGGCAAGGACACGAGGCATGGAGCAAGATGCCGCAGCAGTCACCAAGGGGAGAGGGGCTACCGGCAGTCAAGTCCAGAAGTCTCTTAAACGGCCTGCGTCATCAAGAGACTCTTGGTGAACCAGCCGCCCAAGGTGCTTGGAGGGGAACTAGTATTTAGGTTAAACGGGTATAAATAACAGTAAGAGAGAACAGCAGACTATAATCCCACTGCTCATTCATTCAGCCAGAGTCTCAATCCAATCACATTCACAACCTGTCGCATTTATACTGATGACATAACTACACTGAAGCAGGAAATGGCTCCCGACAGCTCAGTCAGTTACCTACCTGAAGACACAAATACTCTGCTCATACAGGAAACACACACAAAAACACATTTCAGGCGGGCGATTCGCAAGACGCCTACAGGGGGACGGGGCCTGCGGGCCGAGCCAGCCCGTGTGCAAACCTGGCAGGTCCTCCGTGTCGGGGGCTGCTCTGTCCACAGACGTGCCGTCCGCTTGGGAAGATGCTACAGATTCTGATAAAAGTGACTGATTTGATACAGGGCTAGAAAAGCAAACATATTTACATTTAAAAAATGATTTCCATGCACGAACAGTACCTAAAATGATGCAGTAAGTATGAGTTCAACATATCTAAGCGGATCAGCACAGCACGAACGAACACGGAGATCCTTCTTTGTAACTCGTGCATGAAGCACAGAAAGCCTTGAAACTGGAGACCAGTGTGGCCCAGAGTCCACGGCTTCAGAAATCAGTGCGAGCGCCCTCCACGCACCAAGTCACCCTGTGAAAACCAGCACGGTCATGACCGACTTCGGGAGCCCCGGTATGGCGGGGGCGGGGGGGCACGCTGGTGCATCCGCACCAGGCGTCTCTGACAGTACCACGGAGAAAGGCACCGGCCCCCACTCCCTAACAGCAGAGTGAGAACGAAGCAAGTAGCTCTGCGCTCTGCGAGAGAGAGGGAAAAGCCGCCCGCCCTGCACACAGTGGGGCCGTGGGTGGCAAAACTGAGCGCCTGCGTTCACGAGGAACTTCAGGGGCAGGACATGTGATGAGCAGAAGCGAAGGAAAAGCTGTCTGAGAAAGAAATGGAAAGTGAAAAGCCACCTTCCCCACTGCTTCCCAGTGTCAACACGACAGAAAGCCTTTCTGACCCCAGTTCTTGGGCTAGCCAGCCCTGAAGAGACTTGACCTTGTCCTCCCCCGTGGAAACGAGCAGACAGAGAGGACACGCTTTGCTTCCCACCAGCCTCCCCGCCAGCATGAGACAGCATCTTACCTTGGCTGCACGGACGCGGATGCGGAGTCGAGAGGTGACTGCGCGTCGGGGACACCGCCATCTGCGCACTGGACTGGGAAAGACTCAGACAGACTAGTGACAGAAGCCGCTGCAACAGAACCATACTTGGCATTAGGGGCTCTGCGCCCTGGGCGCTCCAGCATCTTCCCTGAGAAAGCGGACACCAGCTCCCCACACAACGGAGGACAGAATCTTACTTCACTGAATGTACAACATACTGGCTCATTACTTTCTGTTAGAAAATGTTAATGCAAAACTGCAGCGTAAAGGAAGTTAATCTACACCAAGAGGGAAACTATATACAAACTGTATATATTACTAAACTCAACTCCCATCTCTCAGGACTCCACACAAACTCTTCCAAGCACTACTGTGTACACAGAGGTATTTAAAATCAAAGCTGCAGCAGTTAAAGCAAATGGAAGTTCAGAACCGAAAGGTGTGCTCAGCACATTAGGCTCCACTTCCCCCGTTCTTCACAAATCAAAATGCAGAGGATGGTTTAACGCTGACAACAACAATTTCCAGGGCACCTTGGGGGCTCAGTCAGCTGACCTTCCGACTCTTGATCTCGGTCGCCTCAGGTCGTGATCTCATGGTTTGTGAGTTCGAGTCTCTCTCTCTCCCTCTCTCTCCCTCCTCTAACAAAAACAAAAACACCCCAACAACTTATATTCATTTGATCTTAGCCTTGAGAAAATTTACAAAAATTGTTTAAATGCTTCTAGCTTCTGGCTTGAAAAGGAAACAGTGATGAGAAAGAGTCCACCCAAAACTGTGAACGAGGTAATGGCCCGCACCTCCATGAACCACAGCACCCCTGCCTTGGGCACGAACCCAGGCGAGAGCCATCCCAGGCGACACGATTCACGCTCCACACCTGCAAAACTCAGACTCTCGGTCATCCGATCCTTCTGGTAACTACTGACACTCACAGCCACCCCCACCCCCTGGAGGAGTCCAAGGGCAGAGGGTGCCGAGCGCACAGAACCACGGCGCCCCCGTCTCAGCCCTGCTGCCGCCCCTCCGCTTCCTTACGGCGTGAGCTCTGTCAGGCAGCTGCGGCTGTGGCCACCTGGGGCCCAGTGTTCCTTCCACGGCCGCCCTGGCTCCAGCAGCCGTCCCAGGACAGCAGCCCAGGCCCTCATACCCGCACGTCTCACTTACCCGGAGACGCACGTGGACCCAACGTACGCCTGTATTCTAGTAAGTAACAGAGCCCTGCAGCACGGCCAGTGAGGCTGACCGGATTCACACAGTCATTTTCGATGGGCGAGGACACCACCGATAATGACCACACGTCATGAGGGACCTTCCTGGCGGGAGGACAGTCACAGGTGTACGACGTGCGAGCAGAAGAGACATCAGGCCGGTCATGCTCTCCCGGTGCGGCTCAGACACGAACACGCTGTGTGTGGACAGAGTACTTACCGGGTGGGCTGATTCTCCCGTTACTGCTGTTCTGTCTCTGAAGATGTTCTTTATAGCACACCGAGCACATGCCGTTTGTGCGGGGGCTCCCGTAGAATCCGCAGCCGGTGGAGCAAAGCATAGGCGCTTGGCTGTGGTTAGTTTCCTGAGCCATGTTTCTCTGCTGCACACCTGAAATTGACACAGAATCGGTAAAGAACCCAGAAGTACGCTGCAGTCGTGTATCATCCAAATCTGCATTATGTAATAAAAAAAGACCCCACATATACTCCCCTCTAGGTCTTTTGGTACACCCTGTCAAGACCGAGGGCTAAGGGAGAGAGGAAAAAAAATAAAGACCAGAATGATACAAACTAAACTTTTATCTCCAACCCTCTCTACACAGGGGGGGCCGTGCTGGCTGAGAAAGAGTAAAGGACTCCAGGGGACGAGATCTGTTCTGAAGACTCCACGCCATCGGAACAGGAATGAAAGCCCTCTAAGGGCAGTGTGGTTAGACTCCTAATAAAAACATACATGATACATGCTGTCCTATGTCATACTATTAATTTCTAAGCATCTACACATTTGCTCAAAGTTCACGTTTTAACTCATATTAATTTACTCTGTTTAAAAAACACTTTACAGAACGCCAATGCTGGTGAAGGTAGAAGAAACGGGCAGAGCTGTTGGTGATGAGAGGAGCCAGCTCAATCTTTCTGGCAAACAGCTTAGGGATTCAGCTGCGGGGCCTGCGGACACCGCCCTGCGAAGCAGCCGCTCTCCTACAGGGTCTTCCACAGCATAAATAGGGCAGAGTCAGAAAAAAGACCAAAGAGTAACATCCGAGGGGGTGTGCTTCAGGGCACATTCATAATGCTGATAAATTTAAAATAAATGCCCAACATTAGAAAGAATTTTTTTTCAAAAGTTATGCGTCGTTAAGACATTTTAGAATATTCTTTGATGGAGAAAGATGGCGGTAACAAACAAAAAGGCACTTATGAAATGTATATACAATTTGTTGCCAATTAGGACACATCTATTAATCATCAAGAAGGACAGGAAAGAATGCATCCAAGGACGGCAAAGCTAGCAGTGTTTTCTGATTTGTACATTGTTTTTAACTTTTAAAATCCTCTTAAATGAAGGTGCAACTTGCCTAACAGGGATAACATATATATACATTTTTAAACTATTTGAGACTAACAACTCCCAGGACAAAGGGCCTGTCTGGAACCCACAGGAGGGTGGTCATCAATCCCAGCAGGTGCGAGCGCCGCAGGTGCCCTCTTTCCCACAGAGCAGGGGATTCTCTGGCACGAACAGCATGGCAGAAGCTGGTAACAGGCTATTAAAAAAGAAAAACACCAAAACTCTCCCAAATGACAGGAAGGTTACTCCAAAATGGGTGTAGTTAAAGCCGAGCCTGCGCCAGAACCCAGGGGTAAGAACCGCCAGAGGAGGAGAAGGCTCCACCCGGAAGTTCTTGTGACCCCACACACGAGGAAGAGACGCACTCAGGGTCTGCCGTTAACAGATGTTTTTCTTCACCTAAGTTATTTGAAAAGACTATTGGGGGGAGGTGGGGAGTGAGGGGTGGGTGCATATGATGCAAACTTCAGAACCAAGAGCAATAATGCATTTGACATGGTTACAAAACAGAGTAGCTGCTTTAGCACTTGTCTTTTAAAAGAGCTGTCCTAAACCACTGAGGCCATTTATGCGTGGGCCGTTAGACCGGGAATCCGACTTGGGATTCTGAGAAGCGCCCTTCGTCCAATCTTGGCTGCTCTGCTCTCTGTGTAGGCTGCTCTTGCTGGTTCTATAAATAGACAATCAAACTTAAAAATATGTAACAAAGATGGGGTAGACAGGTAGAGTCAGATCTTCTGTTGAGATTTCTGGCCTATGTTCCCAAGGACGACGGTGTGTCTGTCTGGTTTCGGTATCGGGGTGACTGCTCAGGGTCACCTATGTGGCTGGTACGCAATGGAGCTCGGGTCCAACACGCGTGTCTGTTCCAAGTCTTTGCTCTGAATCACTGGTTCTCAAAGTGTGCTTCCACGGAGCCCTAGGGAGGTCAAAACCGTTTCCGTCCTAACGCTAAGTAATCATGCGCTTGCTTCTCTGGTCACTGGGGACACGCGCTGGAGGCGCAGGGACAGTGGTGGGGAGCGCAGCACTGGGACCCTCGCCAGGAGCCAAATCGGAAGCGTGGCTCTCACAGCCCCACGACCGACAGGCAGGTCTCGAGCCTGAACACGCGTCTCGTTAGGACCTGGAAGCATGCGAGGGTGCCCCGCTGCCCACAGAAGCATCAAGGCCGTCCTGTCCCTGCTGGGGGGCTCGGGGGAAAAAGTCTGGTTACTAACACCCAAGGTCATGGCAGATGTTTCCCCAAAATGAACCACGTGCGCCTGCGCCCGTCCCTCTGAGGACGACACGGTGCTACTGCAATGACGACATTCAAGCAGCAAAGGCTTGACGAGGGTCCCCAGTGCTCAGAGGGTCGGGCGTGGGGGGGCGGGAGCCAGCGTTCTCCAGGGACCAACGCTGGCACGGGATACTCATGGCCGAGCACCTGTCACCCTCCAAGGGGGAGGCCACAGAACTTTCGAGTAACGGGAACAGAACGGGTTTCCGTACGGGTGGGGACTCTACATGGCAATTAACCCTTTAAGAAACTACAACTTACTAAGTTTGGGTACAATATTAAAAAAAAAAAAAGCAACCTCTATTATCTGAAAAGGTCACTCAAACGCTCCTCCCTTCTCCAACGACTTGTCTGTGGGACACCAGTCTCTCTAACACCGTGACAGAGTAAACGCAGGGCCAACTAGGAGAGTCTTGCTGTTTGCTACTAAGCCTGACCTTAAAGAGAATTTGCAAAAATGTCTAAAGATGCCTCTTCTCACTAAACCTTTTAGGTGGTGATGGCAGGGGAGGAAATGGATGGTTATTTTTAATAAAAATTTTAAAAATTAATTATTTTTCTCAGCTTTAATTTATAACACGATAAATATTGCCAGCTATAACACCCATAAGCAAAAGCTCTTCAGCATACTCAGTAATTTTAGAGAATATGAAAGTCCTAGAACCAAAATTTCAAGAACGCCCGCTGTCAGCCATGCTTTCCCATGGCAGGCAGTATCACCTCAAGGGGACAAACACTGATTCTCTGGGGGGAAGGACGGACACAAAAAACTTTAATCTCTATGTCCAAAACACAGATACACACGTATACATAAATAGGATACAGCATATCTATAGAATTAAAATTTTGTGGAGACAGGAGGCCAAGTAGGAAAAAACGATTTTAACAAGGCTTTTGTGGGGACGCCTGGGTGGCTCAGTAGGTTAAGCATCCCACTCTGGATTCTGGCTCAGGTTGTGATCTCACAGTTTCATGAGATTAAACTCCACCATCAGTCTCTGCACTGACAGCTCAGAGCCTGCTTGGGATTCTCTCTTCCCTCTCCTGCTCCCAATCTGTCTCTCTCAAATAAATAAATTAAGAAAAAAAAAGGCTTTTGTGGGGGAGGAAGTAAAAAGAGACTGAGAAACACTGCTCTCTACCACAATTATCCTGTGTTGCCTAGGATGATGTTAAAATGGTATTTCTCAGGGGGGACTTAACAGGACCTTCCCCAAGGGCACACACGAACCTTTCTGCTTCTGGCTGGTAAGCATGAGCAACCAGAAAAAAGAAAATATTCCATTTCTTTAAAAACTTAATTGTCACAGATTAGAATATGACTGTCAAGTTCTTATTCACAATGACTGCTTCTGAACAATAAACCTCCAAACCATGAACAGTGGCAATGTCCCCGAACTGCCCCACTCAGCAGCCAATTAACAATTATCTTCTCAAGCTGAGCTTTAAAAAAATGAACGTTATTATCTTGGCAGATAAAAAGCACAAAAGATTTCACAGGCTATTTGAAAAGGGGAAAATAAGAAAAAAGACAACCTCACTTACTCATCTCTAGGCCACAGAATATACCCTTCCATCACCACAACCGTGGTCTTCGTTCATCCCAATGTGGGGAAGATGGGAGACAGTGTGGATGCTGCAGTCCGGCCTGTCCGCGGCCGCACCTCCTTGCAGGGGATGACCCTGCGGGCCCACTTCTCAGGCTTTTCGGAGGGAGGAGGGAGGGGAGGACCCAGTGGGCCCATTTCTCCGGCTTAGGAGGGAGAAGAGGGAGGGAACGAGAAGGCGAAACAATGCCTTAACTGCTGTACGGCGGGACTGCAAAGCTACAAACCCAAGGAGGTAAAGGATATCAGCGACAGAAACGGAAAAGCTGGTTAGCATGGTTTAATTAAAAAAACCAGTCTCTTCCCCTCAGATGGTAGCACAGTTATTCAGAGCTTACTGAGGGCCAGAGCTGTTCCCACTGTTTTATTTCTCTCATTTAATCCTCTCCGGAGCCCGGCGCTGTTGGTGCCCCATTTTAAACACGAGCAACTGATACTCAAAGAGATTCAATAACTTGCCCAAGGCCACATATTTAGGAAGCTGGGTCAGTGTCTTTATCTCCTAAAAACAAAGAGAATGGCTTTCAAAGTCCATTGTGTCCCTACCAAACCTTAACTTGTGAGCATTCATGAATTATTATTCTTTTCATCGAAAGATAATTTAAATTTTTATTCATTTATTCATTATTCATTTATATCATTATTCATCGTAAGATATTATGCAGCTTTAATCAGCTCAACCAAGCTCTTGAGAAAATTTGTTTTTTAAGTCTTTTACCTAAGAGATTCTCATTGGCATAAAAAAATTCAAGATCAAATGTTTTAAGACTGCAAAGAAAACTCATGACCGATTATTAAAATTCTGACAAAAGACCTGCAATGAACGGATGTAACACAGTCTCCACCGCGACTACAAAGCGTGTCAATTACACTTCCCTTCCTCTGCTTCGTGCCCTAGAGTGTGAGTCGGCTCCCGGCCATTTTCACTCCACAATGACCCGCGTGCTCTTCCTTCCCATTCTAAATCCCCTCGTCACCTCACAGCCGCGCTATTTTAACAGCTGTTCCTTTCAGTGTTACCGCCCCTCTTCCCAAGGCATTTATTTCAATTCTCCTGCAATAGCCAGTTGCCATCACACTCCTTCCGACTTAGTGACCGCAGAAGCGTCTGGAGAGGGGCGCTAGACCCGGCGTGCACGCTTGGGGTG